GAACCATATTGCGCCAGGCCTTCCTGTCCTTGAGGGTAACTTGCCAGGGGTTAAAATGGGACTTCCCTACTTCGCCAGCGGGCAACACTGGGCTCTGGGGCTTTCGGTGTTTGCGTAGTCGGTTGGTTCAAGAGCAAGGATACGGAGTGGCTTGCTCGTAGCCATTTCGAGATCTTTGGGAGCCCGAGGTAGGGGGAAGGGGCGGGGGGCTGCGGATTGACGCTAACAGAGGATGAAGGGCAGAAGAGATGGCTGCTCAAAAGCACTTGGCTTTTGAAACAGCTTCACTTCAGGGCTGCCTTGGGGTGAAGATGTTTCCCCTTCGAGGTTCTGGGTACAGATAAAGTACCTTTGCTGAGACCGGATAATGTTGAAGTAGGACTCCCATAAATGACACTCAGGTTTGTTTTCCCTGTAGAGGCATCCTGACTGTTTTATGTCCTTCCTTCCTAAGAAAACGGTCTGCTTTGTAGAAAATAGGATTTGCAATACACCTGAATAATGAAGGAATACATTTTGCACATGTAAACCATGCTATTGATCAGCATCAGCTTCAAGAAAGCTATTAAGTAGAATGTGAGATAGACTAACAATTTGCACAGGGAAATACAAAATCCATTCAGAACTCTCAAAGTGGAACAGAATTTATTTTACTAATTTGCTTACAGTATTCCCATTCTCTGAAGATGCCTTCATTAACAAGACTTATTTTTCCTTATTAGCACCTAGTCTTTCTGTTAGGTCATCCCAGTGGGCAATATTATATTTTACTCATTTTCTCTTCACAATGTAAACGTCTGGTTGGGATAATAGTGATATTTTCAACCATTCCCTAGTGAAACAATCTCTTTAAGATTATATAATTTCAGGCACATTTGTCTGGGAGAAAGGTTCACTGACATGGCGGGATTTAAGATAAAAACACCCTCAAGTTGAGCTCAGCTTCTGGTGACTTTGTAGTCAGATCCATGTACCTTTTTGATAGCAGTGTAGAAATGTTTGTTGTTGCATTCTTCTAGGCTGCTTTTTAACTTCTTCTCTTAACCTAAGGCCCTGGAATGCCCTTAGGGTCCCCAAGTATTAACCAGGGCCAGTCCTACTTAGCTTCTGAGCCTAGATTGACTAGCTGCTGCTACTTACTAAGACAGTAGAATTCAATTTGAAGGAACATGTGCATCAAAATTAACTAGCTATTTCTTCCAAAGCAAAATAATGTGTATCTACCAGCCTACTGACAGCATTAAAGTTTCTGTTGCACATATTTTTACTAAGCCAGCCTGCTAGAATACACTATTGTAAGTTATTTTTTCCAAAACAGCTGACTGAAGAGCAAACTACTCTTTTTTTTTTTTTTAATTTAACAAAATGTTGCTTGAAGCATACCATATCTGCCACAGGCAGGGAGTGATTATTTACAAACCCACTGTTTGGATTATAAATACAAGAGGAATACAGTAGATATGGAAATGGTCCCAAGCAAAGGAGTGGACACACTTCATAGTACCTTTGTGCATTTCTATAGGAAACTCTACTTTGGAAATTGTGGCCTTAGAGGTAGAAATAATTAGTTTCCTCTCTCCTACAAAGTTTTATGATAAATGACCTGTAAATACCATTGCTAGCCATTTTCTACAGCTATTTTCTATAACTAGTGTTTCCACTGTTTCCACACGGATCATTTTGATCAAAATTATACCAACCCTTGAGGTATGAAAGTGCAAAGCACAGGCTAAAGCAAGATTCATTTTATACCTACCATATTCCAGAATTGTTTTAATACTATGTGAACAACAAAGTGCTGCAGACAAAGTAGTTACACTAGGAAAAAGTGTCTGCGTATTTTAACAGAGGTTTAAAAATTCTCCAGATCACTTTAATTCAAGGGAGTCAAGTTACATATACTGCAGCATAGTCTGTACATGTTACTCAGTACGTTTGATCAAGATGAGTTTCTGCTTATTTTATAAAAATGCATTATCATGTCAGGTTATCTCCTGAGTACTGAGTTTCTTTCAGTATACCACATTTACCTCTTAGTTACCATGAAGATGGGCAACAGTATGCTGTCTTTCAAGGTAGCCTCTAGAGATCCTAGCTTGCATACGTTTTGGTTGCACTTGTGGCCATTAGCCAGTAATGCTGCATGTAGCCTCAATATAACAAAAGCTTATTCTCTTTTTACTAAAAAGCATTCCATGAAAGCCTCCACGATGGATGGCTGAGGTCAGAATTTATGCCCCTGTGTGGTGACCATGATCTGTGGAAGATTGTGACTTGAAATTTAAGAGGATAAATGATAGAGAGCATGAATTGACAAATGAAATGAATACAAATAGTTGTGCTATGGTCTAAGAGGAAGGGGAAAGGATGTGATGGATCTGAATGAAGAGTTCTGATCTTCTGTAGTGGAGTTGATGAGTGTATGCAGGGAAGTGAAGCTGCAGGTTGAATTAGGAATGAAAGGGTTAAAATACATGTTAGAAAGTATGAATTGGTGTCACCTAGATTATTATAAATGCATACAAAAATAGGAATTGGTAGGTTAGTAATAGTTGCATGCTACGCTGTAGTGAATGATGATAATGGAAGAACTAAGGATGAGAATATGGAAAAATTGTGCAGCACTCTGAATGAATGTGAGAACATACAGAAAAAAAAATTAAGTAACAGGAAGGATTTGGTGGGAACGAGATGAGAGAGCACAGCAAAAGTGATTGGGTTGCTTGGTGCCCCAAGAATTAGGCTTGTTTGGTGGGCATCTGTTAGAAAAAGGTCTCTTGAATACATGGTTTAAGCATAAGTCTGTTCATCTGTACACATGGAAAAACAATGAATTTAAAAAATTGATTGTTTTGATTGTTTATGATGAATGATTTAGAGAATTAATGAAGGATACAAGGATGAGAAACCATTATCTGGCAATGTCAAGAGTAGTTCCTGGGAAAAATGGACATGAAGGAAGAGGAAAGGAGTGAAAGAAGACTTCAGGAAGAGGAAGAAAGCACAAGACATGTATGAAAAAGTATTAGCAGATAAATTAATCTCCCAACAAAATGGAAAGTAGTTGTAAGGAAAGAGGACGTGGAAGTGAATGAAGTAAAAATAATTGTTACTGATTGCCACAAAAGTGTGAAACTACATTAATGGAAAGTCTGAAAAAGGGTGCTTGGAGCAATGAAGTAAAAGAGGTACTGGATTAAGGAAAACTGCACATATGAAAATTATTGCTGCAAAAAATGAGCGAATAACATTGTCCAGTGTGTATAGCCAGAGAAAGATAGTTACTGAGAATGTAGACATAAAGACCAAAGAACACTTGAGATTAAAAGAGGCAGAGAAAATGCAGAGCAATTTTGATGGAAATTTTTAAAATGTTTTAGAAGTGGGTAAAGAGAACTAAACATGGACCCTCTAGAAGAGTGAATGGAATTAAAAATAAATATGATTAAATCATTTGGGATAAAGCTGAGGTGAGGGAGTGCTAGAGAGAGTATTTTAGAGATATATATGGGAATTAATGTTGGAGAGTGCTCTCTTTGTTAATGGGAATGAGAGTTTGGCATTTCAGGAAAAGCATAAAACTAAGTTGAATGCAATGGGGATGAGTTATTTAAGAAGTATCTGTGGTAAAACAAGATGTGATAGAATCAAATTATAAGGGGTGCTGAAATAATGTGGACTGAAAACAAGAATGAATGATCAGTATAAAAGAACATTGAGCATTAAGATGGTTTGGTCATGTAGAGAAAATGAATGAAGATCAAATTGCAAAACAAATATTTGGAGGAAAAATGAACTGGTTAAGAGGAAGGAAAGACCAGGAAAGTCCTTGTTGGATGGAATTGGAGATCCTGAAAAGGGGAGAGGTGAGAATTTTAAAGAATAAAAGGCAGTGTTGGAATTACATGTGGTTGTGATAGAATAAAAAATAGACAAGTAGAGTGAGGTATTATCTTATGCCTTTCATTTCCTCTGCTTATTGTTTCTTTCTTCTTTTCTGTGCTTTGCATGGTTGCTTAACCCAAAAGGGAATAGTGTGATGGTTATTTATGTACTTGTATATGTTTGCAGACCCTCACTGTTCTGAGACATTAATTGAAAAAAATTCATTTGGTTTTAGGCTCTTTCAAGAATATTCAATCTAAGCTTTGTTCATCTTTTATGAGCTTTAGTGCTGGGGAATTTTGGGGAAGATTTTGTAATGTCAGGCTCATAAATCTGTCAGTGGAAGGCATGCATATAAAT